CAGAGGATTTTGGCAGAGCCTTACCATATGGCTCATGCTGATTAGATGCGCTACCAGTGTTTTATTATTTCATAGCGGCGCTGTTCTTATGCATTCAGCTGAATTTGCTTCAGTTATTGCTTCCTTGAGAACAAATATCACAACAATGCAGATTTGACCGCAATCTGGCCCAGCGCTTGTGAGCATTGAAGCCATACAGGTTTGTAATGAAATGAGAATGAGGAAATTTTTAGGTTGAATTATTCCTTTAATTATCATCATATCTTAAGATAAACTCTGTGCTGTGTTGAACCTCAGAGGTGGGCTGACGGCGTGTGTGGGAGTGGAGGTGATTGTTATATTCAATAAGCATTAGTCACAGGCTTGATGGCCACTTGCGACAATCACTCAGGCTTTCAATTACAGATCACCCACACACACACTCTGAGCTCTGCTGATGGTAACATCAAATCACTCTGCCAACAGCACAGACCCCGCTAAAGGACAAGCTTTCCAAGTGTATGTCTGGGAAGTGACTGTGTATGAGATTATTGTGATGCTGTGAATTATGTAAATTTATAACGCGGACCTCTGAAATGCTCTATGTGATCAAATATTTATTTATACACACGGCTAAAATAAAACTGACCACTGTCCCAGGCAACCAATTTCTTTCATAGCTGCTAGTTTCAAGTCTTACAGCACTTGTCTTATAGACCTCAGACGTCATCCGCCCGGAACTGCTTCCGTGTACAACTGTTGGCGCAAGCTACATTAAAGTAAATATTACGTTTTGAATATGGATATTTTTCTTACAAAAATATCTGCTTGCATTGCAGTCCTGATAGCTCTGCCGGTGTTTATTTCACACTAACGACTGTATATTATGCCTTGTGTGTCTGAGCTTTGCCCACCTGGTTTTCAGACAGCCACATTGCGGTCATCTGGTTGAGTTTAGTGAAGCTGTACGGAAGATTCTTCAACCTGCACAAAGAGCAGAAACTTGATTACTGTACGACAAATAAGAAACAAGTGAGAATGATAGTATGCTGAAATAAAATAAAAATGGGACATGATTTAATAAGAACACAGTCAATTGAGAAAGAGTCTGGTATAATGTGTATCAAGGCTTATAAATATAGCACAGGGAGCAGAAAATCCAGCTATATTTTCCAGCCTGTTGAATCACAGCCAAATGCGTCTAAGTGGTTCTCTCAGAAAAATGTCAAAGTAATGGCTCTCACAGCCACCAGCTGCGTGGCCAAGCTGGAAACATTTGTCACTGATTCTTTTGGACTGATGCATGCAACACCCGCTGAGTGCCATGAAACAGCTTGAAAGATCAAAGACCATTTTTAATATAACTCCGACTGGATTCGTCTGAAAGAAGAAAGTCATATACACCTAGGATGACTTGAGGGTGAGTAATTTATGGGCTAATTTTCTATTTGGGTGAACTAACCCTTTAATATTGAGAATTTATCCCTAAACTAAAGTGTTACCTATATTATATTATATTATAACAGAAAATTCCACAACTTTGTTAGATTTGACCAATTTCAAATGACTTGTTCACACCTTTAAATAACTATTTTACATTTCCAGCTTGTCGATGAGCGTGGGAAACTTGTTCTACACAATAAAATGTCCATTTATTTTGTCAATTTATTTACTTATTTAGAAAGTAGCCAAGTAGTTGTGTAATAAGCAAGATCATTTCCATTCAGTTGGCCATTAGCGCAAAAAACAAACAAACAAAACAAAAACAAATCCCCTTCAGTCAAAAATCAACCCTCTGCTTGCATTGCAGTCCTGATAGCTCTGCCGGTGTTTATTTCACACTAACGACTGTATATTATGCCTTGTGTGTCTGAGCTTTGCCCACCTGGTTTTCAGACAGCCACATTGCGGTCATCTGGTTGAGTTTAGTGAAGCTGTACGGAAGATTCTTCAACCTGCGCAGAAAGAGGACAGAGCAGAAACCTGATTACTGTACCACGCATTAGAAATAAGTGACGATGATAGTATGCTGAAATAAAATAAAAGGGACATGATCCAATAAAAGAACAGTAAATTAAGGTGAAAATAAGGTGATTAGCAGTTGATGTTTTAGAATACACTGCAGGCTGTTGTGTATATGTGCATGATATGATGTTTGGCAGTGTTTGTGGCAAAGGGACGTACTTGTTATCGCTGAGATTGATGACCTTGAGTTTCTGCATGTCGCCCATCTCCTCCGGCAGAGTCTCCAGCTTGTTTGAGTGCAGGAAGAGAACGGTGACGTTCTTCAAACTGCCCATCTGTCAGATGCACAAACATACACATGAAGGGTCAACTGAGATGCACAGCCTCAAGGAGGACACTTTGATCAAACTGCAGGATCGATTCGGTCGAGATTGAACCATTTTGTACGAGTCGTTTTGACCGCAGCAGTGGGAATTTGTTTTTGTTTTATCCAGCTGGTTCAACTTAAATCCCATCCTGCACTATTCTCCACACAACATTCTGTTTTACTTTGAAATACAAGATATTATGGCAGTTATATATAAGGCAATATATAAATGCCATTTGATGCTGTCTTAAATGCATCGTGCCGGGACCGGACTGACCTCTGGAGGCATCTGTGTGAGCAGGTTGTGGTCTGCAGCAAACGTACGCAGGTTCACACACTGGCCGATGGTGGACGGCAGAGCCTCGATCTCATTGAAGCTGCAGTCGAGCTCATCCAGAGTCGTGAGTCTACAGAAAAAAGACATGCAAGTGAAATGCGAAGCTGTTAACAATTATTCAAACTCAACAGCTTCCTCCTGATGCAATATATAAATGCGTTATATAAGAAATCACGTGTCGTCTTTAAAACACCAAACTCTACAGGCCTCTATTCAGATGGTTCAGCGATCAACGACTTTGATTCTTTGTTTATTAACAGTCTGACGTCAAACATTGTGTTTTTCTAGTATGACTAACATGCAGGTGTGCTGAATAAATCATAAAACCAATGAAAAGACCAAGGCTGAATAAGCAGTTTTTGAATCTGATTTTCATTTCTGTGAAACAAACGGTTGTGCAACCATTTATAAAGTTTTGCAAACACTGCAAGGAGTAACTAACTAAAGGTGTTGGATGGCATTAAACCAGTGGATTTCAATCCTGTTTCTGAAGTAGCCCTGAAAACTTAGCGAGAGGCTTAGATTCATTGTGAATAGGGGTGCTCCGATTGATCGGCTACCGATCACTATCGGCCGATAATCACGTTGGGATGTTTAATCGGCGGTCCCTAAAAAGGCCGATCTCAAAAAAACGATCTCAAGCTGATGACGCTGCTGTGAGAGGTTTGGCACGACATGCAGCGGTACCGTCTCAGTCTCTATCTGGCGCGGGTAAAATAATTATAATGCTGAAGGTGAGGTACTCACCTTCATATTTCTTCATTAAATAACTTATAAAGTAATTTGAAAACCTTGTGTGAGACGTAATTTCACAAACAGCGTGAGTGAATCACCACGTGCGCGCTCTCTCTTTCTCTCTCAAAATACGCAAATGTCTTCAAATCACCACAGCGTCTGTCTATACGCGAGCTGCACGCTGCACAGTTGACACAGGAATAGTCACTTGCACAGTCGAGGCAGTGTCAAATCGTCACTAAAGTTTATAAATTGCATTACT